AACAGCAAAGTTGTAGCTGATGGGAAGACGAGAAAAAAAGTCTATGGTAGCAAGCTCCCAGAGGCAATAGTTTTGGAGATAATTAAGTCGGAATATGGATTTTTTGTTAAAAAAATGATAAAAAATATATATATACGGTGGTTTTTCCGGAAATTACTAGTTTTTGATAATGTAAGTGTTTTTTAAGTACAATGGGGTGAGAATATGTGGAAATTAATGTTATAATTTTTTTCCTTTGAGAAATTTTGATTTTTATCGTTATTTTCGGATTTTTTAGTATTTTTTTGCTATTTAAGAGCCTATAACTCCGAAATTTGACTTTCTATGAAAAAATGTTGTAGAGGAAAGTTGTTTGTATTTGTCTAATCTAAAGTAATATAAAGTTAAAAATAATGAAAATTGAAAAAATTGAATTTTCAAAATTTTGAAACTACTGTAGTTTGCGTAGTTTTCGACGAAAATTGCTGGCTAACGAACTCGATCTGTATTTTAACACTAACTTTGTGCATGCAAAGTTGCAAGTTGATGCAATAAGATTTTCAAGAGTTATTGTAGGGACACCATTGTGTCTACAGACAGACACGAAGACAGACATACGGACAGACACTTTTTTTAGACCATGTTTTTCGGACTCAGGGGACCCCAAAACGTCGAGATTTCATGAAATTAGCGAAAGTCAATTTTCGACCAAAACTAATACTTTCTCATATGATGAGAATGTAAAAATGTTAAACTGACATTAAAAATGGAAAAAACAGGCAGTCCACTCATGGTTATAAACAGTGGTCCACTCATGGTGACAAACAACTTTTTATGGCAGCCACCACAATTTTTTTTGAGTCAAAATTATCACTAAATTAAACTAAGACAATCAATTTCAATGTCCAAAGTAGTAGGAAAAAAATAAATTACCTTTTAAAACTTAAATTTTACACTACTTTTACACTTCCAAATCACTTTACTCATTGAAAGAGCGACTTCTTTTTTGGTTTGTGTTCTTAAAAATGCGTTACATCAAACAGTAACGTATATGATTATCGCGGAACCTAATTTCTTACGGTTTCTAGGTGCGGTGCTGCTATTTGCACTATTTATTTCACGTTTCCGCTGTCAGATAACTTAAAAGCTCAGGCGGTCCACTAAAGGTGACATTACCCTATGGGAAATTCCACGTAAGATTTTAGTCGACAGTGGGATTTTTTTACAATTAAATTTTTAAAACTGCTACAGCGTAAACCCTTTAACTTAAAACAAAAAACACAAATAGATTAAAATTTATACGCTGCAGACAGTTCTAAAAAGTTAATTGTAAAAATATCCCATGTGATGCTTGCAAGTGATTTTTGAAAATGTTTTAAAACTCATTTAACACATCAGGCCCATTTCGGGACTTTTTGGAAACTCTCCTCTATATTATAAGGTATAAATAAATTTAAAAAAAATTTTTTAAAATCCGGCCCAAAGTTAAAAACAATTAATTTGTTTATAAAAAAAATTTTTGTTTACATTTCTTAAAACTCGAAAGAAAACTAAAATTTTCATTTTTTGACAACTTTTTCCTAAACTCAATATTTTCGGAATTATAAACTACTCACGGTGGTCTTCAAGCACTTTTAGGTTTACCTAAAATGAGTCAAAATTGTGCTAACGCAGTTTTATCTGTAATCGTCCCAAGATTCCAAATTTTCATTTCCGAAAATCGTAGCTGATTCTTTTTTCGAAAAAAAACATATATATGGGCAATTCCACGTGAGATTTAAGTCCACCTCTTAAAATCGTCCAAAAAATATTTTTTTTATATTCTGTATCGAAACAAATTAGATTCGTATTTTTTTATTTTTGTTTAATTGTCCAAATTGATTACAGGACAAAAAGTCCATTTTTGGTGTGGACATTTTGGTTTGGACTTTTTGTCGGTATACCGTCCAAATTTTCGAGTTATGAATTTTCGAAATTTTTAACTTGTAATTGTAGACCAATATTCAGTAGCTTATAATTCCGAAAATATTGAGTTTAGGAAAAAGTTTTAAAAAAATGAAAGTTTTAGTTTTCTTTCGAGTTTTAAGAAATGTAAACAAAAATTTTTTTATAAACAAATTAATTGTTATTAACTTTGGGCCGGATTTAAAAATTTTTTTAAAAATTTTTTATACCTTATAATATAGAGGAGAGTTTCCAAAAAGTCCCGAAATGGGCCTGATGTGTTAAATGAGTTTTAAAACATTTTCAAAAATCACTTGCAAGCATCACATGGGATATTTTTACAATTAACTTTTTAGAACTGTCTGCAGCGTATAAATGTTAATCTATTTGTGTTCTTTGTTTTAAATTAAAGGGTCTACGCTGTAGACAGTTTTAAAAAGTTAATTGTAAAAAAATCCCACTGTCGACTAAAATCTCACGTAGAATTTCCCATAGGGATAATGTCACCTTGAGTGGACCGCCTGAGCTTTTAAGTTATCTGACAGCGGAAACGTGAAATAAATAGTGCGAATAGCAGCACCGCACCTAGAAACCGTAAGAAATTAAGTTCCGCAATAATCGTATACGTTACCGTTTGATATAACGCATTTTTGAGAACACAAACCAAAAAAGAAGTCGCTCTTTCAATGAGTAAAGTGATTTGGAAGTGTAAAAGTAGTGTAAAATTTAAGTTTTAAAAGGTAACTTATTTTTTTCCTACTACTTTGGACATTGAAATTGATTGTCTTAGTTTAATTAAGTGATAATTTTGATTAAAAAAAAAATTCTGGTGTCTGCCTTAAAAAGTTGTTTGTCACCATGAGTGGACTGCCTGTTTTTTCCATTTTTAATTTCAGTTTAACATTTTTTAGATATAAATTGACAATAAATTAGTTTGAAACTATGATTTATGTTCTTTATTAATTTTTTTGTGATATGTGACAAAATTATTAAAAATGGTTTCACTTGTAAACATTGCGACACATACATGGTCTGAAGCTGCATAAGCATAAATTTTGTTTCAATATATCAGAAATATTAAATACATTAAAGAATTTAGAATAACTTTTACAATTTTTTAGGAGTGGTCCACTCAAGGTTAGACTTTTTTTCTTAAAAATTAGCTTTTTTAAAAAGTCAATTGTTTTTTCCAATACAAAAAATCAAAGCTATTATGGTATAAACACTTATCTAGGGATCTAAACTAAAGCTTGGAATAGAAACCTCTGATTAATTTGCTTTCATAAAGAATTTTTTAGAAAAAAAGCGTAGGCGGTCCACTCAAAGTGACATTACTCTATATATGTTTTTTTTTAAAAAGAATCAGCTACGATTTTCGGAAATGAGAATTTGGAATCTTGGGACGATTCCAGATAAAACTGCGTTAGCACAATTTTGACTCATTTTAGGTAAACCTTAAAGTGCTTGAAGACCACCGTGTGTCCTATTCTGTCTCCAAACAGACAGGAGTTTTTTGGTTTATAGGTTGGGGATCGAGAATCCGGAGAGTTTTTACCCTTTCGAGGTGGTGCTTTTTTTGGTTGTTTTTTTCCTTTTCTTTTTATTGAGTTGTTTTGGTTGATTTTTGGTTTTTTTCCTGTTTTTTCCTACTATGCTGGTATGGTTCTTTTTTGCATTTTGTTAATCTTCCCCCCGGGCGAACTGAGTAGCCTGGGCCTACGGTGGCGTTTATTGTGGAATTGACTATGCTATGCATATTTTATTTTGTTTCCCCTCGTTTTTTTTTGGTTTTGATGTTTTTTTTGTTTTTTCTTTTTACTATTTTGGTTTAAATTTTATTTACCTTAGTATGCAATTATATATCTTATGAGTTTTTTTATTAACGCTCTGGTTCATTACATATGAACGCTGCTTAACGTTTAACACTATAATTATATGTGATCACACACAGATATGTATGTATGCTCTGCAATAGGCAACTAACAAGGAAAGAAGAAGAAGAAGGCTAAACATTCGGCTAATGTAGTGAAGCTTAATTCACAACGTTGGTTATGTCGTTCTTTATTTTAATCTGATTTTAATTATATTCCTAAAATTGCTCGTTCGCGTCATGAAATTTTTTTCCGTGTAAGGTTTACATTAAAATTATAATTAAAATGTTAACCCAGTCAAAAAAGTTCTATAGAGTCATTCTATAGAATGACTCTATAGAGCATTCTATAGAGAATTCTATAAAATATTCTATAGAGCATTCTATAGAATGTATTATAGAATTTATAAAAAAAAAATTTTTTTGTAAATATCTTCACGAATTCTATAGAATTTGACTAGAAATATTTTATACAATCTGTGTAGAAATTTAAAAAAATATTTTTAGATAAATTCTACAAAATATTCTACAGAATACTCTATAGAATGCTCTATAGAATACTCTATAGAATGCTCTATAGAATACTTTATAGAATGCTCTATAGAATGCTCTATAGAATGCTCTATAGAATGCTCTATAGAATACTCTATAGAATGCTCTATAGAGTCATTCTATAGAATCATTCTATAGAACTTTTTTGACTGGGAAGCATTAGAGCGAAAGAAATGTTGTTTGGGACTTGAAGCTGGACCTCAAATGTATTTGTATGTTGTTTATTTATTTATAATTAATTATGTACTTATTATTTTGTATTAATTTTTGCTATCCATTATAAGGCAAAAACATACTCTCTTATATGTTCACTTTGTGAATTATAACAACCCAGTGGGCAAAAAACCATCATTGTTTTAAAAACGTTCCAAAAACGTTTTTAGAACGTTTCATGTCTGCTAAATAACGTTCCAAAAACGTTATATGTTTCTAAAACGTTTTAAAAGAAATGGAACGTTTTTGGAACATTATTTTGCAGACATGAAACGTTCTAAAAACGTTTTTAAAACAATGATGATTTTTTGTCCATTGGGAAATAAATTAATCTAATCTAATCTATATTCCCTCTTTTGTAGAACTACCCATATCTGGATGTGTCAACTATTGTCTTTGTCTTAAATTAGATTCAATTAAGTAGTGATCAAAAATAACTAAATCATTAAATTTACTTACAGGTACCATGGAAAGTGAATCCAGTTTGAATGAGGAAAATAATACTGATGCAAATTTAAGTAGTAGTAGCGAAAATATTGATATATTAAGTAGGAATGAATATAATTCTGATGATTCAGATAATACAGGTTGTACTATTACTTACATTTTTTAAAATTTAATCTTGTAAGTATTAATTTAATTGATTAATTTTTTATAGCATTAAATGAAGATGAAGAAAATGATGAAGTTGTAAAGGCAATCATTAGATCAAAAAAAAATCATAGCAATCACCCTCCTTCTCTAATATTGGAAGATGCAGTAATGGATATTTGTTTTCATCCAAAACGTGACTTGATCGTTTTCGCTATGGTCACAGGAGACATTCTTCTGTAAGTATCTGATATCTATATCTATCTACCTATGTACATCCCAGTAAAAAAAACGAATTCAAACGGATTGAAATTAATTAAGATTTTTGGTAGAAAGCGGGATTCATTCAAGCTCTTTGTATATTCGATTGAATTCGATTCAATTTGCCTGAAATTGTGCAAACGAATTCGCATTCGTAAGAAATGACCAAGGCATGCATTGAATTCATGCTGACGAATTAAAAAAAATTAAAGGACCCAAAACTTGTCCATTGAATTAGTATAAATAAAAGGTTTGGAAGTTCAATACAGTTTGACGAATTCAGGAAAATTGCAACATAGCTCCAATTCGTATTTGTCACAAAGCGGGATTCACTGAAACTCTTTGTGAATTCTTTTTAATTTATTTCAATTAGTTTTTGTTTACTGGGATATGAGTAATTCTTTAGAAAAAGGTAGTGATGCATTCGATCGACACGATATAAAAAACGATCGATATTTGTTTTTATACCATGTAAAAAAACGATGTCTTTTGTTTTTCGAACGATATTATCGTTATTCGAGCAAAAGTACCGAGATTCACGGAATTTTTTATTTGGACATTACATATTTTTAAAACAATAAAAACCAAATTCTTGATCAAATACATTCAAATAAATTATATTTTTTTTATTAGAAGTTTGTTGATGTTTAATAGAAAAGTTGACTACATTTTTTAGTTAATTTATACAATTTTATTTTTAATAAAAAATTGATAATAATTAATGTCTACTAAATTTAATAAAATTAAAACTCACTTTTAGTTAACCTCCCTACGGTTTAACCCCAGTATATATTTTATATTTTTTATATATTTTTATACCCCAGTATTTTAAAAAATTTATTTCGAGAGTCATATAAATAAAAGACCAAGTGTAACTTAAAGCTTAAGAGTTGTATTTAATATCAAAGTAAAAATGAATTAATTTTAACAAAATTATAAATTTATTTCCTGCAAAATTGAAAAGTATACAAAATTAGGAACAAAAAAGAACTCAAAATATCCGAAAATTTTGCTGTTTTTTAATTTTTTCGTAATATTTGTTATTTACATTCTCATCAAAAATGAGAAAGTCTTGGATTTGTGCGATTTTGAGAAATTTCTAATTTTGATAAATCTTCACGTTTCATGACCCCCTGATTCCAAAAAAATGGTTTTTAGAGAAGTGTCTGTCTGTCGATCTGTCCGTCGGTCTGTCCGTCCGTCTGTAGAAAATCCCGTCTCGACGATAACTCGAACAAACCTCAATGAACCGACTTGCAATTTGGGGTGCCTTTTTAGTCCATTAAAATGAAAAAAAAAATATCTGAGCGGGAGGTTTGACGTCGAGGTATAATGATGTGCACCGTCGATTATTGTCCGGTACACACCATTAGAACTCGACTGTCGATAAACCGGTTGTACTCAGGAGAGGTTTTCTACAGTTTCCCTCTTCTCTGGCGAGAAAACCCATTGACGGGTGGTCCAGGCGAATGCGAGTACTCCTAATAAAGTCGGCTGTAGACGCAAAATTAGGTTAATATATAGAAAAAATTTCATAAGTAGAATGGTTATGCTTAATCCAAAAAAAAGTATTTCTCGGGGACTCTTGTCGAAGTGCGTAAGGCCAATAGGGCAGGAGTATAAACAATAAAAAAAAAATTAAAAAGTAAAATTAGGGGAGAGGAACGCACGTTGAGTCGGGTTTTGTTTTTCAGTTTTAATTTTTAACAAACAAAATTTAGCGAAAGATTTAAAATGTTTTTTTAAAAGTATTGTCCAGGGCTACAACATTGCCGAAGAAAGTTATTTTTTTGGACAAAAATGAAAAATTTGTAGATGATTTTTTAAACATGTTATTTTTGACCCCAAAAAAAGTGGTACGCACGTTGAGACACCTATAGTAATTTATTTTAAATTGAAACAAAATGAATAATTACGTCAGATTCTAATTGTTTGTTGTTTATTTACTTGTTTTGATGGTTTTAGCGCAAAGAAAAAAAAATAAAACATTAAAAATTAACTTAAAGAAGATAATCAAAAAATAAAATTTTATTTTGCACAAAAATAATTAGTCGAAATCTTTATATTCGCAATTTTTACAGGTGAGGAACATGTAAAACGCTTAAAAATTGTGGATTCATAACCAATTTTAATGGCAGTACTATTTTCGCATCGTGAGCGTTTTAACCTGCGTACCACAGTGTGTCTCAACGTGCAGACCTCGCCGTTATTTTTTTAAAGCTTTGAAATTATTTGTAGATGTTAAAGTATGTCTAAATTTTCGTCGGAACATTAAAGTAGAACCAAAATTGATATGTAAATGTTATCCGCACTTTTTTCTGCTATTAAAGAATAAACTAAATACACTTAACAGAAATCCTGAAAAACACTTTTTTAAACTAAAAAATTGGTTTGCTCTAGTTCTACCGAAAAAACAGGAGTTTTCGCGCTTCTATTGATTAAAAAATTTGGTATTAATGATACGTCAAAATCCCAATAAACTTTTTGGTATTATCAGTTACACAGGTTATAGTATCTTAGTGTCTTAACGTGCGGACCGTCTCAACGTGCATATCCCTCCCCTATAGATTTCTTAAAATAATTGATTAATTAAAGTTATACCAAATAATATAGTACGCTCAAAAAAAAATTTTTTTATCATCTGCTGATTATCGGCTGTGGTTACTTTTTTGAATTGTGAATTAAATTAATTTTGATGGCCTAGATATTAATTAGAATTGTTCTAGAAATAGTTTGGGATCAGTAAACAATTTCAGTACTAACAACTTTTAGTAAACCAAACATATAGTTCGCTCAAAAAATAATTTTTCATCTCTTGCTGATTATCGCCTGTAGCTACTTTTTATGAATTGAGGGCGTGGAACGGATAACTGCCTGCAATGCATGGTCGAAAGGGACTATACCATTCAGACATTAGTGAGAGGCCTAGAGGCGCACACTATTGTCTGACTGGATAGTCCCTTTCGACCATGCGTTGCAGGCAGTTATCCGTTCCACGCTCTCAATTGTTAATTAAATTAATTTTGGTGACCCAGATATTAATTGGAATTGTTCTAGCAATAGTTTGGGACCAGTAAACCATTTTTGTACTAACAACTGTTAGTAAACAGAAGATAAAGTTCGCTCAAAAAATAATTTTTCATCTTCTGATGATTATCGGCTGTGGTTACTTTTTTTGAATTGTAAATTAAATTAATTTTGATGGCCCAGATATTAATTGGAATTGTTCTAGCAATAGTTTGAGATCTTTAAAAAAATATTTGACTAACAGTTGTTAGTAAACAGAAGATAAAGTTTGCTCAAAAAATAATTTTACATCTCCTGCTGATTATCGGCTTTGGTTACTTTATTTGAATTGTGAATTAAATTCAATTTGATGACGCAGATATTAATAGGAATTGTTTTAGCAATAGTTTGAGAGCAGTAAACAATTTTTGTACTAACAACTATTAGTAAACAGAAGATAAAGTTCGCTCAAATAGTATATTATGTGGAAAGCACGTAAAGCAATACTTTTTAGGTGAGGATGTCGTTTTCAATATGAGTTGTCGTTAGTGCGACGCAGGTGAGACGAAGGTGAAACGGAAGCGAGTCGGAGTCAAGCCGAAATCGAGCCGAAGTCGCACAGACAGCGAGTATTGAAAGCATCCGAACCTAAAAATTGCAACGTGCGAGCCGCATACGCTATTTTTTTCGCCATTGATATGAAAAAGTGAACCTCTCAATCTCAATCCTTCATTTAATTTTTCAATCTTTCAATTATTCAATCTTTCAATCATTTAATCATTCAATCTTTTAATCATTCAATCATTTAATCTTTCTATCATTCAATCATTCAATTATTCAATCATTCAGTCCCAATCTTAATCTCTCAATCTCAGTCTCTCAATCATTCAATCTTTCAATCCCATTCTCTATCTCTCAATCACACAATCTCTCAATAATTCAATCATTCAATAATTCAATCTCTCAATCTTTCAATCCCAATCTCTCAATCTCAATATAAATTTCAATCTCAGTAAACTGCCATAAGGCAGTTCTGCACAACTGCCGTAAAAAGACTTTTTATGGCAGCTAACTGCCTTAAAAATTCTTTGCTAGAATTTGAGCTTTAAAATAGGCCTTAAAAATGTTAATCCGTCTTCGATTTATCATTAAAAGTGTGAAGCCATGTTGCGACTGATCGTGCATTGAAATTCAACTGTGGCGACTCGATTCTAGCTTCACGCGGCTGCGATTGGGAGAGAAAAAAGAGACAGATTTATGCTGGGGAATAATAAATAATGATGTTTCACGAAGAATATAAAGAGATTCGAAAGTTCATCGGTCTTCCACATGAATTCGTCCCTGCTTTCACTCTCATTCGCAGCCGCGCGAAGACAGAATCGATTCGTCACAGTTGAATTTCAATGCACCAATCGGCTGCAACACGGCTTCAAACTTTTAATGATATATCGAAGACGGATTAACCTTTTTTTAATTTTCGAAGACTTATTTTAAAGATGAAATTCTAACGGAACACAGGTCTCCTTAGAAGTAGACCGGTTATTCTAAAATGTAACGCTACAAACTTGATGGGGAGTTGTTCCAAATGACTTCCAGATTCCAAATTTTCAAACCGATAAATCGTACCTGATCCTCCTTTCGAATTATCTCTTATACAGATAGTCGGAAACTTAAAAGAGTTATTATCTTAATGTGGAAGCTTTGATTCAAAAGACTGCTGATTTTTCGTTACTAAAAATTGTTTAGACAAAGATTTTATAGATAATTATGGTTCCGAATTGTCTCTTCTTCAAGAAACTTTTTGATTTTTGGAATTTGGACACGTCTGTCACATGTTAAAGTGCTATATATGAATATATATATATAATTTCAGAAGCCTGCAAAAAATAAAAATTTCCGTTGTCTAAGATCGAGAAGTCATTTACCGTAGCTTTTGGTGCGCTAAATCCGAATTAACATTTAACAAAAACCT